AAGGTAATGTTGTCAAAGATCCTAATATTAGCTTATCACAGTTAACGAGGAATGGTATGTTCTCATACTCTGAGCAAAGTCAAAACACTCTAAATAAATCTCTTCCAATAATTTGCATGTCAAACACTTACATTCATAATGTCCGACTCAAGTGCAATAAGAAAATATTTTGTATTTTGCACATGCTGAAAACAATATTCTCCAGATAAATATATAAGCATAAATCATATGTCTGAAAAAGATACATATAAAGGTCGATGCTGCATGTCTTTACTTTTTGGTTCATCTCTCCTGAATTTCATAAAACGGGCTTTCTATACTTTTATTTTTTCCATTTCGGCTATGTGAGTGCGCAGAGAATTTTAATAATAAATTCAACTATGTATCACAAATCATAGAAAACATGCAGCAGCTAAAAATAGTATTGTTAATAAAAGAATGTGGATCGAATGATAAGAGTTTTTCCCAGTGCTCATCCATCGAAAACTTATTCATAACAGCGTCAATATATATTAATTCCCAAATTCAGGAGAAAAAGAAAATAGAAAAATCCAAAATGAAATAAGGATCACATTGCAAAGGATACTCCTTAAACAGCTTGTCGTAGTAGCGCTTCACCAGCCTTTGCTCCCATGAAGGATTCATGTCATCTTCCTCACTTCTTATGAACCTGTTGGCAAATGACGAGAGCAAAAGATTAAAACAAATTAAATAATCAAACGTGAATAAATCGTACTGTGGTTAACTCATACGCTACAGGCCTTCTTTAACCAAGAGATCTTATTGCATAAAATACTTTGTAAATATCGATGCAGACCGAGAGACGAAAAAATACAAGGCAATAAAGTTGAAATTATTCATTTTTCAAATCAAGAACAATACCTGGTAAGATATTATATATATATATATATATATATATATATATATATATATATATATATATATAGAGAGAGAGAGAGAGAGAGAGAGACACACACACACACACACACACACACACACACACACAAGTAAACCTGTACCATCGGATGCGAAAGTACAAATTCAAATAGAGCCGGAAAGTAAACCTACCGATATCCTTCTCTAAGAGTGTCTTGATCAGTTTTAACAGGCAATGCATCACGAGAAGATTTCTCTCCGCCATAATATCCAACTGCAAACAAATTGCTAATGAGAGAATCGCATCGACACCAAAAGGGAATGAACGATTCACCAAACACACTCGGCAAGCATATTCTGTTTTTTTTTTTTAATTATTTATTATTCCAACTAATTGAAATCAGACAAGTACTAGAAAATGCAATCTTAAACCAATTAACATGTAATTAATAATAAATTTGTAAAAATAATTAATTAATTTCACCAAAACCCTTATCAGCAAATTACCCAGCAGTTTCAATCAAACGGAGCAATAAACAGAAATAGATTCACATAGAATAACAATCGAAGCAGCATATGATATTTACCCAATCCAATTAATTTGATAACTACATAAAACACGCACAAACACGTATCTGTGTGTAATTACTTGGCGCCCAATTTCTTACAATCGAAGAAGAGAGAATCTAACCATAGTCATTCAGAAATCTTTTGTGGCGATCGTATGCGTTTAGGCCTCGTATATGATCTTGATACTGCCTGTTTGTTCATAAATTGTCAGAATTTTTTTTTTTTTTTTTTTTTTTGAGAAAATCAACCAACCTCATAAATAATTAAATATATATATATATAAGAGAAATTCCGTACTGTGTTCTTGCTTGCTTATCGAAAATTGCTTGCTTCAAAGACCCAAACGAAGCCATGAGTTCGACGAATTTGATTTATCGGAAATTAAAATGGAGTTGGGAATTTCGAAATTGTTTACAATTATTTTACTTTTCTGGTGATTAACATTTTGGCCCTTAAACTTTTCTCTAGTATCGGGTTTGGTCCTTATATTATCATTTATTCTAATTCAGCCCAAATGGAGGGAGTTGATAGAACATACATATTTTTTTAGGCCTTGTTTAAGAATTATAATTGAACTTGGTAGATAGTGTAATGAAGTTAATGTTGGATTTTAGGGTTAAGTTTTTAATATTGGGCCGGTATAAAATCGGATAGCGA